GATAGTGTATATCAAATAGCCTCCAACGCTTAATTTAGTCTTGATATAATTTAGACTTACTTCCTTGTATTTTTGATTAACTTACTTGATATGATTATAAAAATATCAGTTTTTCGTTTTGTTTCTCTATCTTTGTTAAAATGTTAAAATATAATCAGTTTAACCTGTCCTGACTGACCTTGACTAGTATCTTTGCTGTGTACGGCTCTTGATTAAGATTTATGAGATTAATGTTCATATAAATTCCGAATTTCAAAAACAATTAGATATTTTACTCACATAGGAGATGGCATCCAATTCCCCAATTTTACCACTGGAAAAAGAGAGTGAATCATTTTCAATTTGATTTTCGTGGTTGAGGAGCCGAGAAGCTTCGAAGGAAATATCGCCTGGTGAGATTCCAWAAAATATACTGGCCCCGACTTTGCATTTTTGTGACTCCAGGCTGCAATATATGTACACTTTTAAATGACGGAAGATCAGAATCAGCAAATGTCCAGAGAAAAAAAATCAGCCTGATTCAGTATCAAGTTTATTTCTCATGCCATTGTGCTCTCGGCGAGAGAGTCATAATATGTAATGTTTACAACTGAGAACTGTTTTCACTCCATAAGTATTAYACCAATGTAGAAGCCGAGAATCCTAAAATTAAAAGATGAGAACGAACAAACAGTAAAAATAAACAACACAAAAACAAATACTATTAAAAATATCAAAAAAACAAGATCAAGCAAACATAACACTACMTAGTATTAATTTCGTTACTGTWTTAACTCCTACATCATTTACAACCACGGCTTTTAGTGATGATAGATCTGTAACTACCTATAAATATAGACACGATACAAAGCTATATCAAAAAATGAGGAACTTGAAGGAAGAATGTACATAAAATATTTTCTTTAAATAACAAGATATACGATAGTATTTTGATGGTTTTAAAAAATTCAATGTTATAGAAAGATAAGAAGTATATTGCACTCAATAATACTTCACGTAAGCCAACAAAAACARACTTCATTGATAAATGGTCCTCCAAATAAACGCATTATCCTGAATCAAGCACGAAAGGGCTATATCAAAATATCACAATACTGCAATTATCCCAGTKCCTTAACACTCAGCTTAAACCCATTTTCCGGAATCAATTTCCTTCGACATATCCTCGTTTTTCCTATGAACCCGGGCACTTTGGCTAATGTGAGACTGATGAACTTAACTTCAAAACAACCTGTTCCTGTATAGAGCACGCTCATGTGTTTCACGAGTCACGTTGCTCGCTTTAAAATTGAGCCTCTAAACAATTAACAAAATGGCCGCCGCCCATTAGAATAACTTTCATTCTTTTCAAGACGTAAGATAAAATGGACCATTATATTCTTTAGGCAAAATTACTTAGCAGCTCTGCAAAAGCTCAGTAGGTTGCATGGAAATATAAGCATAGTAACGATTAGAATTACAGATAATTAATAGAAAGGGTATAACCCAGAAAGAGATACTTTTCTCTTAGAAAATGTTTCAGTTTTGAAAAATTCATACCTCTGCTTTGTTGTTGTTGTTGTTGTTGTTGTTGTTGTTTTGTTTTGTTTTTGTGTGTGTTTTATTAGGATTTTACACAACTTCTAATTTAAAGTGAATCATATTCTATAGTATTTCGGAAGTCATTTTGTGTAAGGATCTATAAGCGTCCAACGGCCTGCTTGAATAGTAAGCGGTTATTTGAGTGAAATGAGTAATTATCAATCAAAGGCAAAGACATGCATCTATCATTAACTTGCAGTGCTTTGTGTCATTTTTTGATTGAATTATTCCGTGGGAAATGATTCAGCCGGAGGGAATTTTGTTCTTCAGACGGTTCTCGATAACAGTTTTTATCTTAAATCATATCAATCAAAACTGTCAGTGTTAAACGATGATGAATAGGTTTCTTATTAAAAATACATCAACTTTCATGACACTTTTGACATGATACACCTGTTTCTCAAACTCGACAAACGCACGCATACCAAAAGTATTAAAAATGTCTGTAATATAATATAGCACCAAAAAAGGCCTTAACGGGACCTATACGAACTTTCTATGTCCACGCAAAAAAGGCATACATGCTGTGCAAAACTCTTGATCAATAAGCGATTTTCTGCTGAGATAGTGCAGCTAGCAGAACGGACGATGCTCTTTGAAGGTTCAAAATAAACAGTCCAAAAAAACAAGGATACACAGATAGAGACCTTAACTCTAGGGGCGTTGAAAAAATAAATCTAGGCAAGGTCAAAAAGGTGTTTTCCGGATTTAAGTCTATCTATCGTAGTGAAGATAACTGAAATAATAATATAGTAGCTAATATAGTAGATTTCTAATTTTTCCACAGATACTAATGAAAATATTCACTTTCCTTTCTTATAAAATGGTCTAGAATGTTAGAAGCGTTTAGTGGAAAAATGAAAAGGGATTTTTCAAATTCTATATATGGACATTAGAGAGTGATTAGGGAATGTTTCATGTGCAGAAACTCAATAATATAAAGACACCGCACGTGACAACTTGGGCATTGGAAAAGTCTTTTTAGGTGGACAACCTTTTTAACCGATCGAATGTATTTATATAAATATGTTGTATTTCACAGTGTTCGCATTGGTAAACTATATAACGTCAGTTAGGCTGTTATAAATTTCAAGTACTTGATTGGTGCATAACTCGTCAACCGTTTATTTAATTTTAACTGAAAAAATTTTAAAAGTAATATCTAGCATTTCCTAAGCTTATGTCCATCAATCTTAGCCTCGGATACTCCTGCAGTTGTCGTGTAACTTTGCTCAGTACAGACTACTATTTTAAAAACAAGACCCGTTCATGGATAAAATGTGGGCTACAGAATGTCAAACTAAGCTTTCACGTTTTCTTTGAAATTATCGTCACGTGTATTATGGCAATGTACAAAACACACCCTCATGAATGTAACGAGCGTTTTGATTGGTCAAGAACTTAGCCTTAAGCTAATAAAAGCTTGCAAGAGGATTCATTTGAACTCCAAAAAACATTTAAACGAAAATTTCATTCTAGATAAATTAAATTGTTCATTTCCGTAAAAAATGTGTTCATGATTGGAACTCCCAATTCTTCACGTTTTAAGGACCCAGTAGTGAACCCTGAGGTACGGGCTCGAGTATTAGGACTGAAAGCAAACACCATGTATGATATCATGTAGCCATCGGTCAACGAAATACTTTACGTGAAACAGTGTTTGTGAATTATTTTCCTCACATTCGACTTCATCTTGACTCTGTTGGTATCCGGTATTTTCAATCACTTCCGTCTGTTTTAATATAATGGTCATCTTAAACTGCCCGTAAATCACATTTTGCTTTTTTGTCTCTGTTTCACGAGCATTGCTCGAGTATTCTTTTGTATTCGAAATTGGATTTAAATGCGATGAATGATATGCACCTTCGAATAATTTTTTAGTCAAAAAATATTTCATTCAGTTATATAGAGAATGGACTCCAAGCATGCAATCGAAATATAAGATGATTAAAATAAATACTAAGAAGAGGCTCTTAAGAGAGGAGGGGATATTGAAATCCCAAAATTATAAATTCACGAAAATCATTCAACAACCGCTAATCCCAAAGTACTGCTCAAATCTCAATCCCATTTTGGCAAACAGACTGGTTTCATTGTAAGTCTGTTTTAAAGTGCACATGACACCTTTTAGAAAAACACTTTTATCCGAAAGTTTACACGCTGCCAACTACTTCTGCGAAAAAAGAAATAGATTTTGAATTGTATTTTCTGAGTTATAGACATTTGAAAATTGAAAATGCAAATGAAGTGACGTCAACTAAGGAATTGATCCAGTCTTTTTACATTGTTTGCGCTATGCTGTTCTTGGTTGAAGAGCACAAATCATCAATCATAGTAATAATTGAGAGCTGAAAATGCTTTTTCCAATGTAACAAAAAGAATAACGTTCTCTTTCATGATTTTGTATATTAAATCATTCCTTAGTAGACGTCACTTCATTTGCATTTTCTAAGTTTTAATCGCCCATAACTTACAAAATACAATTTGAAATCAATTTCTTTCTTCACAGATGAACTTAGCAGTATTTTCTCTTTTGGATGAGAGTGAATTTCTAATGGTGTCATGTGGACTTTAAGAGATTCCCTGTACCACTCAGTGCGTGATTTATCAATGTCACACCACAAAGAAAGCTGACATCCTCTACTTATTTATGCTAAAGCTTATAGAAAGGCTGAAGAAAATGCACGCAGAATCGCAGGTTTTTCGGCGCGACGAGTAGTATATAGTGTTCATTTGAAACCCTTCCTTTTGTACTTTTTGTTATCTTCTTTCCTTTCTTCACTTTAGTCCATTTGTACATATTATGTGTCGATTATACTTTGCAAAGACTGAATGACGCACAGGAGCATCAAAAAAATGTTTCTTCAAGTGTTTTTAAAAAAGCTTGATGAAAACAATTGAGATTGACTACGACTAAGAGAAATTTGTATACTTGTCTTGTAATTACTTCCTTCATTATTTGCCGGGATTGAAGGTCCTTTAAACGATCGTGAATAAATCTCTGGTAAAAATAAAATGATTGGTTTTATCGGGTTCAGTCATCGCATTGTGACTATCTGTTTGATCAATTCAAATTAAACTTYCAAAATGAAAAATCCTTACATCTGAGAGATCATATAAAAAATGGCATGTTTTTCTGTCTCAGAATCACACTTCGCCAATAAGGTTGATGGCATCCAAATCAGCTGTGTTTCAATCTTATCAAGTTATCTTTTTTTTTCGTCTTTAATATGTACTTTATTTTCCATTTTGTAGGAACAAATAGAGTAGCATTTCACAGACACCGCGATGGGCTCTTTTCTACTGTAGAGGTTGCCAAGGCAACAAATTCTTAACGAGTCATTCTTAAAAGGAGCAGCTGGTCCAGATAATGACCTACTTTAGTATATAAACTGATATTGAATTGGATTTTCCTCAAGTCGACGCCACACCATACAGTGAGTCGGTTCTCGTTGTAGTGAAAACAGATATCTTTGTCAAAGATTCGCCTTTCAGTAAAGAAACATCGAAACATTCTCTTCAATTATAACCTAACTTCTGTGGAGAGATAACTTTTTGGGGAAAGGTGTCATAAAAAAAATCTTCATTCAAAAACCTTCAAAAACACGTTGGACTTTTCTCAAGACTTATGAATTAATAAAATGGCGAGTAACAATTCTTCGCAACTCGTCGCGATGATGATGATATCCAAGACTGAAGCAACTCGTCGAAAACCACTCGTAATGGTGGCCATCCAAGCTTCTGCCATGGTGGTGATGATGGTAGTCGGAGCTTTAGCCAATGGTGTCATCTGTCATTGTATTCTAAAACACACCTCATTGAGAACAGTAACTAACATTTTCATTATGAATCTAGCAACGACAGACTTTCTTGTTTGTATTTTCTGTATGCCGTTCGCGTTGATATCATGCATTGTTGACGAGTGGGTTTTTGGTGATCTTATGTGCCGCCTCGAGGGATTTCTGCTTTCCATGCTATGTATTTCTTCGATTTTAACTCTTGTTTTAATCGCAATAGACCGTTACATGGCAATAAAATATCCTTTGAAATATTGTACACATTTGACAAATAGCATTTCTGTTTTTATGCTCTCGACTATCTGGTGCTACGCGGCGATTTGCTCCATGCTTCCCGCGCTTGGTTGGGGAAGCGGGTATGTCTACGTTAGAGAGGAAAACATTTGCCGACCGGAATTCGGAACACCGTCAAAAGACAGTGGTTTTACTAGCTTTCTTTTTACAAGCGCATTTGCAGTTCCTTTCTCGGTTCTAGCGTTCCTCTACTTGTCCATTTTATGGACAGCTCGAAAACAGTTTCGTCAAGTTCACGTGGCGAAAAACATCATTCAGGTGAAGCCTCAAACAGACGAGTCAACCAAGAACACTGGCAAAAGGACCATTTTACCTGAGTTCGATAATACGTGCACTGAGGTCACTTCTGCAACAAACACTACAAGATCTCTAGGATTCTCCACATCAAAAAACAGAAAACACCGTCGTAAGAGCAAGACCCGCGGTTTTAAGATATTGTTGTTAATCGTCGCAGTCTTCATCATGTGCTGGTCCCCTCACTTTGTTTTGATATTTTACTCGAGTATCGCCCACGTCAAAATTCCACTGGAAATTAGAGTTATAACTACATGGCTAGCCTTTCTCAATTCTACTATGAACCCGTTTTTATATGGATTTTTGAATGGCAAATTCCGGTCCGGACTGAAACGATTTTGGGGTAATAAAATACTATGCTGTTGGTTGTGGAAGGGCAATGAGGAATCTCGAGCCTTTCACATTAATCGCTGACTGTAGATGGGCTTTACTGTGAGCCTATGGAACTAAGTGACTTTTACCGACTTTAGACATGATATGCCGAAAATTAACTTTAAAAGAACTCTAAAGAAGTCCTCGGTGGCCAAAACGCAAACAATTGTACGGTGATAAGCGTGTGAGAATTTKCTACAATCAACTAATGACAAATACTTAACACTCATGTTCCTGGCAGCACGAACTGAAAAAAAACTATTAATGACAGAAAATATAGCAAGATTCTGCAAAGAGAGGCAGTTTATTTATATTTGGATATAGAATCTGGGAAATAAATCTCCCTTTACTTTTGATCTTTACCAAATGGTCCAAACGACATTAAAATGTAGATTTAGATTGAAGGGCGAGATGGTCTAAATGTAGCCGGCGGGGATAATGGACAATATATTTGCTAAGTGAGTTTGAACGCTCAGTTCAAAGTCTTATTGAATTAAAACTAAATAATATATAAAATAATACAAATTAGCTGATTTGAACATTTTAAATCATGTATATATTTTAAGAGTGACTCAATATCAAAGATTTCTCATGAAATATGTTAGCTTTTAAATAAAAGACTTTTGTATACTAGAGCTTATTATTTTTCTCAATGACAGAGCTATATCTAGCGACCAATATTCAACAATAATTGAAATTGAGCAGTATTTGATGAGAGCTGAAATAATTGGGGTTTTTTAGAGTCACTATTAATCTGGTCGCCATTTTATTTGTTATTGACTGGCGGGATATTGCAAATGTGCTAAAATGCTATTCTTTCTTCTATTAATCATAATTCACTTCCATTTGTACTTTTTCCTTCCTTTCTTCGTTATTTTTATTGCTTTTCTTTATATTCTACATTTTTCCGGCCTATTGATTTGGTTACTTGGTTTAATTATCGCTGTCCACACATATTAATGTTTTCAAATGGTTTATCTTCGACTATCCCTTTGTTATATTTCACTAAAACGTTCAATTACTGTTCCGTAAGAACTATTTTTCTTTCTTTTATTTAATCGAGCGGCGTATCAAACAGATCTATTATGTCAAACATTTACTTCGAAGATATTCACTGCAATGCGAAGACCTAAACATGATGAAAGACCTACTTACTTTTTGACGTAAGTTAAGCCTACTTAAAGTCTCGATTGAATTTTTCATTTTTACAGGTACAAGTGGTTTGTGGGAAAAAACACATATTTCGAAAAAATATAATGTACATTAGGACAAGTACACATTTCCATGGGATGAATATTCGAGTAGTATGAAAGCTAAGATTTTTCAGTTCCGTTTACGTTACAAACTGAGGGGTTTTAGTAGTTTTATTTGTGGGCTGAAAAGTTAATTCCGATGTTGGTTTAATGTTCTTATTTTTTTACAGGTAAATATTATTTGTTGACATTAGAGAGCTTTTTAAAGGCAGTTAATATTAGACGAAGGCGTTTTACGTGGGGCCGAAAAGTGTCAATGTCTCTACGATCTGTCAGTATATACAGGAGTTTCTTGACAACGGTTGATTATTAAAACCATAAAGCCTTTGTTGTGTACGCACTTTATGTTGAACTAGCGAACAGCTGACCAATTCCACCCTCATACCGAGAACGTCACAACATCTCTTTGGAAACCAGGTTTTTAGTCGTTGTTTTTCGGGGTTTTTTATCTGCTTTATCTTTTACTCAATTGCTATCGTCGCAGACGATCGACCTATTGCAGACATTCGATATTTTTTGTGTATCTCCAAACGCACAAATTGTCTTACGAATTTCATCATGTCTAATCTCACGAAAACAACGTTGAGATACGTACGAATTAAATCACTCAAACTTCAGTTATTCTTAGAAAAGGCACAATAGCACACTACAGGTGTATAAAAAAGGCGCAAGCGCCATTTCAATTATCCGCAGTAGCATTCAAGGCATTGGTCAAACGTTGAACTTAACTCCGTCGAAATTAATTCTATTCAAATTTCTTTTGATTACTAAAGCTTTCAGGAGCTTGGAAAGGCAAAATATTTATGTGTTTAAAAAAAACAATTTAGCATCTACAATTTTATAGGAATTGTTTACTCTCTTGGCCTAAATTTGTAATTTAGGTCAAGAAAGGTGCGGCAAAAGGGTCGCTGTTAACCCAATGAACACATTGAACGATAGAAGCAAGTTTGGCATCAAAAATTAAATTCACTTGAAGCAGGCTTAACATGCATTTGACGTGCAACCGCGTCAACTCCGTCACTACTTTTCTAGTTTCTGAAACCATTCTAACTAAAAGTTGGAGACGAAAGTGTCCATCCTATGAATCAATGAATCTATTCTGAATTAAGTTTCATAAAAAATATACTTATTCAAAACAGCAACAATGCCAAGCGGAGCATAACGCGCACAAAGCTGGCAAAATATTCAATGCGACTAACCACTGCCTTTTTTGACATTACAGTTCAACAACAAATTTTCCTTCGCTCTCATTGGTGGAGATCGACCACGTGACGCGATAGTGCCCGCCGCGGAGGGATACTATCAGTGCATAGGGCCCGCCGCTTCAGAAAATTGTGTTGTTGAATAATAAAAACAATAAAGCAGTTGAAATTTTGTGTATTATGCTGTGTATTATGCATAGTACTTTGTTTTTCGGAACATCCAATTTCCGCGGGCAATTATCACAACATAATGCCTCAACTACTCTATTGCTTAAACTGACGCATGAAGACAGCACGAAAATTATCATTTAATAAATTTACATTTCTTTGTCACTGAGGGGTGTCTGCTTTTCCTAAAGCTTTACCTGTAAAACAAAGTACTACATACTAAGGATAAATCATCAAAATTGGATTTGGAATGACAGGAACTGATCTTGGTTATACTTAATTCGTCGAACCTTGAAAAGTAGTATTTTTAATTTACTGCTTGGAAGACCAACAAGATCAAAAATATCTAGAATGTTGACAAAGACACGAGGTTAATGTTAAAGGTAGACTAGTAAACATTGGAAAGTTGGCTTAGCGATAGTGAGCCTGAAGACCGTCCCAGCTGAGATAACCGTTGGTTTTTAGATCCTCTTTTAGCTCAATCAACCAGGAGTTTTGCTCCAGGTGTTGCACTTGTAATGAATGTTCCTTTTTTTCTGCTGATCACTATTTCCATGCATATGCATGCAAACAGACAGGAAGCAGCTTTCCTCGAATTTGTTGAATAGTATATAATATGTATTCTGTAATCAACAAAATTTAGCAAATGCTTTGGGGAAGTTTCAAAAATCAATTCATTTGATTTGAAATAAATTGCGGATCCGTTTTTGAGTACGTTCTTATAATGCGTGAATTGACGCAGGTGCGTTCAAAACCTACTGCAAAACCACTAATCATGATAGAATTAAGCTGACAAGTTTTCTAGCTACGTAATTCTATAACCGTGCTATAACTCTTCCTCTTAGAGAAAAGTATATAGGATCCATATTAGAATCTTTAACCTAACCCCCAACGTGCATTATTGCCATCTTATGAATTCTTACATGAATTAGTAACCAAATATTTCTCTCAAGAATCTGTAGCCAACCAAATGACCAATGGTACATGGTGTTGCATCAGCTTGTATATCCAATCAGAAACATGGACAGATCGCTAAATAGGATTTTTGCAGCTATGACGCAGTCGAACATATTGACAAGTTTTAGTTTCCCGTATGTGACGCAGGTGTGTTCGTCAACATTAACATCATGGTCGTTGTCGCAGTTTGCGATTGGCACAAGTAGAGGAAAGGTAAATACGACCATGAAATTTTATCATTATCGAGTGACATGGGCCTTCAGTAGCTAAGCGTAAAGAATACGCATCGCTGCAATGGATGACTTTACACGAAACAGTTCACTTGGCCCCAGCTATTCTATATTCGAAGCATTAAAATAAAATAAAAAGGAAAAATCCTCGGAGTCAATAATTCCTTCCACAAAAAGTGTGGTTGGTGAGAACGGACTGGACGAAATTTAAGCAAAGCCTTCTGAATTTAGTTTCGCATCGTTTCGCATTTCATTCGTCCATTAATCAATGCCGTAACCTCAAACCTCACATTGTTTAAAATAACGATAAGATGTTCTTTCCACTTCTGGAGTTAATCTTGCTCATTTTAAGGGATTTGAAGTCACGTGACTTTCTAGTGGAAATCCGGCCCACTTGCACAGAGGCGGGTTCGTAGTACGTATTCCATATATGGCACAAGTGTATAGAACAAACTAACAAGCGAATAGAATCACCTAACAAGCGAATAGAATCACCTAACAAGCGAATAGAATCACCTAACAAGCGAATAGAATCACCTAACAAGCGAATAGAAGTACCTAACAAGCAAAAGAAGCACCTAACAAGCGAATAGAAGCACCTAACAAGCGAATAGAAGCACCTAACAAGCGAATAGAAGCACCTAACAAGCTTTTTCACTTGAATATTTTTGTCGACTTATTCGAACTTTTTAGCTACACCTTAACTTATTAAAAATTTTATTATCAAATTAAAATTATGAATTTAATGTTTTATAGCCTTACCCGTCCTTTTCCCTAAACCTAACCCTTCGACTATAGCTGCAAATGTAAAGCGCACTTGACCACAAGGGATTACGCTGGCAAACAACGAATTGTTTTCAGCTGTTTTCAGTAATAAGCTTGGCTTTTGAACGAACTCACATTGAATCAAAATTTTCTTGTGTTTTCAGTTTCTTACATCTCAAAAATCATCGGAGTGGATGTCTCTCAATATAGAATTACAACTTTCTTTCTTTTCCAGCAACCGAGGAGTCATTGAATCGAGCAAAGTAGACTATATAAGAGGAGGATTTGATTCTTGCGAAGACACCGGTTTGAATCCCTTCGGCTTTTCACTTTTGTTTTGAGTTTTGAGTAGTTTGTGCACTTATGTTCTGACTTCTTTTGAGCTTTTACAACTTGACATTGAGTTCATTGAGTTTTTTCTTCCAACATATTCCTTTTTGGGCTATCTTTAAATTGTGTTGAATACTTATCGAGTATTTCTTAGCTGGATTGATGCCGTTGGCATTGAAAACAACTCATGGTACGGTCAACTCGGAAAAGAGCGGGAAAGTCAAGTGCTATAAGACGCGAGCGCGGACAAAAAGGCGTAGTTGACATTGAACCATCTTTCTTTCAGATCATTAAAAAAATGGATTTTGTTTGAATTTTTTTTATTGCAAAGAAAATCTCAAATCTGATAAAAAAGTTGTCTTGATTCCCTCGGAAACATGGAAGTTGGACTGATACCATAGCAACGGTCCAATGCAGCTCTGGGCGGACCGCGTGTCAGCCAATCAGAATTCAAGAAATTTACAAGCTATATATTAAAAGAGCAGATATAAAATGGTAAACTGGCACATATCTAAAAATAATAATTGTGGTAGTGAAAGCATTACAACTGTAAATTCAATAT